GGACAGTCAGGTTTGGGTCCACAGTGACAAGACACGCAGAGCCTCACGAGATGGGGGTAGATCCAGTCCTGTCCACCCCCCCCCAATGAGACCCCAAGTCGTTGCCCACGAACAACCTCTCCGGCTCCTGATCAAGCTGCTTAACGGCCACAATCCCAGAGACTCAGAAACAAATCTCAAAACCCAGTGGCTTTTGGCAGAAATGCGTCTGGACCACTTACTGTCGCTGGGTCACCCCAGGGGGGAAAGGGTGTTGTCCCTCCACCTGTTTCCCCCTGGTGGCTCAGTGGCCATCATCCTTCAGAGGCCATTGGACAGTCAGGTTTGGGCCCGCAGTGACAAGACACACGGGGCCTCATGGGATGGGGGTGGAACCGGCCCTTTCCTCCCCATCCCAATGAGACCCCGAGTCGCTGTCCATGAACGGCCTCTCTGGGTCCTGATCAAGCTATTTAATGGTCATGATCCCAGAGACTCAGGAGCAAATCTCGGAATCCAGCAGGTTTTGGCAGAAATCCCTCCAGATTTAAGTGTTAAAATTTCAGAATTTCAAAATCGCGTGGCCACTACTGCAGCCACGCAACATTATATGTTATTCAGAACCAGGAATAGAAAACAAATTGTCTACTGTTGCCTTTTCAGCAGATCTGAGTATTGGGGTAAAATCTCAAATAATAATGGTGGGTCTGGTGTTAAAATATTGAATGTGATCAAAGTAGAGAGAGAGTAATGTGGAAATCATCTGACCCACAGGCAGGGGGAGGGTGTGGGATGGGGGTATACTGGGGTTGTTGGGGGTGGAGAACGGGCACTGGTGAAGGTATGGGTGTTTCATTGTATTACCAAGATTTAGACCCGAAAGCTTTGTAACTGCTCTCAAGGTGATTCAATAAATAAAATTATAAAAAATAAGAATTAAGGTGGAGTTCATGCACAATTCAATCAGCTAATCAGTGACTGAATAAATAGCAGTACTCCTACATAGAAAAAAAAAAGAACGTGGGTGGCAAAGAGAAAGAGAGAGAGCCGCCACCGAGGCCCCTTTGTAATTTAATTTTAGTAAATACACAGTCCCATGAGCACCACCAGGATCGATTCCTGAGTACAGATCCAGAAGCAGCCCCTGAGAAACATCAGGTGTGGCTCAAAAACCAAATAAGAATAATAATAATGCACCAGACATTCCCCCACCCCCAGCTTTATATTTCTGACACTGGAGACCAGTGCTCTCCTATTCATATGTAACACATACATCTTCACTATAAGTGCTTGGTGTTTAGGAAACGTGCACAGGAGGAACCACACAGTATTGGGGACTGAAACCAGAACTACCTGTGCAAATCATTATATTTAAAATGTAATTTCAACTTGGAACCACATTAAAAAAAAAAACTTTAATCAGTCTTTTCCTATCAAGAGTTCAAAAGCCACACGTATCTTATATTTATCACTTCTCAGGTCAGACTAATTTTTTTTGTTTTGTTTTTTGCTTTTTGGGTCAAACTCGGCAATGCACAGGAGTTACTCCTGGCTCTGCATTCAGGAACTACTCCTGGCAGTGCTCGGGGTAACCACATGGGATGCTGGGGATTGAACTCAGGTCAGCCGCATGCAAAGCAAATGCCCTACCCGCTGTACTATCACTCTAACACAGGTCAGATTAATTTTTCAAGCACTCAATAACACCACTTTATGGCCAGTACTTGCCATATTAAATGGTAGAGCCACAGACAAGTCCCTAAGGACAAAATTTATTTTCTTAAAACATTTACAAATACTTTTAAACTCCAAGAGATACCCTCAGGCAGAGGAGGACTAGAAAGAGGTCAAATAAGTCATATTACACTTGATGTAAATAACAGACTCTCATTGTAAACTGTGCTTGACTTCCTCCAACACTTAAGCTTCTTATCTCCTCACTCTAGTTTCCTAACACTGCTATTCTGGAAAGCAGACTACAGAGCTCAATACCATGGACAAAACTGTTGTAGAAGCGAATTTATATCTATAAAACCAGTAATAGTTCCCATAAGTGAAGAGGACTTTTGTTAATGAGAGAAACTGAGACTCTAATGAGGGATCTAAACTGATAAGGTGTTACTCAATCTGAACCCAGAGGACACCACACTGGATCACCATGACTGTCAAGAAACCCAAGATTCAGAGACTGGCCAAGAAAGTAGAGGCAGATTATCTTCTAGCTTAGCTCTTTCCACCAGTAGTGAATGGAACTACCTGTTGAACTACATTATATCCACTAATAAATAACGCACGTTAAAAAAGTTGGCCAGCTACATGTTAACTAGACTTAGTGTAGTGTAGTGATCATTTCACAAAATATAAAAATACTGAATGTTGTACATCTGAAACTAAATAAATACATGTCAGTTACTCAATGTTAAGAATAAAAATCTCAGGGGCTGAAGCAATATCACAGCAGGTAGAGCGTTTGCCTTGTGTGACCCAAAAAGTGAAAAAAAAAAAAAAAAGAATAAAAAATCTCAGTTGGGAAAAAAATACAAAAACCCTCAGGCCCAGAAAAAGTACAGGCATTTTAAGGCCCTGGCCTTGCACACAGCTAACCCCAGTTCAACTACTGACTCCACACAATTCCCCAGCACTACCAGGAGTGACCTGAAGGCAGAGCCAGGCGCTGCTCAGGAGCACTGCCAGATGCAGCCAAAACAAAACACGCATTAAGTCTCAAATTCAGAAATAACAGTTGTTTCTAAGGTAAGAACAGGAGTGGTAGGCCCAGAAAGAGTGTAGGGGTAGGGCAGAAGCCTGGCACATGACCAACCTGAATCTGATCACCACATCTGATCCCAGAGCCTGCCAGGAGTGATCCCTGAGCACAGCCAGGTGTGTCTCTCCCAAACAAAAAAAAAAAAGTGAGGTGAGTAGGGCATTTGCCTTGCATGCGGCCAACCTGGATTCAATCCCTGGCATCCCATATGGTCCTGCAAGCACCACCAGGAGTAATTCCTGAGTGCAGAGCCAGGAGTGAACTCTGAGCATACTCGTATGTGACCACCAACCTCCCAAAAAAAGCAAAAAGAATGACTTCAGAAGGACTTACAGGGAGCTTCAACTGTATTTATACTATTTTTTAAGTTATGAATGAGAGGGCAGGTAATCTGAATGTGTGTGTACACACACACACACACACACACACACACATATATTTTTTACTTGGCTCTTAATATAAGCACTATTTTACATAATACTTTCGATTTCTTGATTGCCTGGGAGATGATTCAGTAACTAAATGTGTGGGTAAGGCATGAGTTCAATCCCCACATCCTCCACATATGAATATGGTGCTCATAGTTCTGCTAGTTGAAGTTCCTGGCAGCACAACCAAATGTATGTTCCCCAGTAAGCACAACCAAATGTGTGAGCACTATAACCAGGCATGAGTATGATTCCTTCTCATCAAAACAATAGCAAAAAAAAAGAAAGAAAAAATAGAATTTTTTTTAATTCTAAAGAAGGGTCAATGAGCCAGTACACGAGTTAGACTGCAGCAAGACAGGTACATGCCTCACCTGTGTTAAACCATCTGGGGGTGCAGCCCCAGAGGCCCCCACGCAGTACTAAAGTGGGGCTATGTGATCCTCAGGACTTCAGAGCCCAAACAGCCCCACATTCTAGACTGAACCTAAACCTCCGGCCCAGTTAACCAAGAATTGCTGGAAGTGGTCCCTCTACCCCCAGGCCCCAAGACACATCTCTCTGTTTGGAAGGTCCCCCGAATTATTTTTGAGATTTTTCAATATCTCATTTATTTTTTGGGGGGGGGTCACACCCGGCGATGCTCAGGGGTTACTCCTGGCTCTGCTCTCAGGAATTACTCCTGGTGGTGCTCAGGGGACCACATGGGATGCTGGGAATCGAACCCGGGTTGGCTGCATGCAAGGCAAATGCCCTACCCGCTGTGCTATTGCTCAGCCCCTCATATCTCATTTTAAATTTCACTCCCAGATTACAAGTAAATTACAAATTTAACATTTGTAATATGTTGTTTCTCTTTTGTAAACTATATATATCTCCATTATGTGTACATTTTATTGCCAACATCTATAACATAGGTTATAAATTTTTCGGCTCATTTCCTTTTATATTTTTAAGTAGTAAACAAGAAGATTCGGGTTTCATCTAACATTTGTTTTTCTAAAATATTTTGAATGGCCTAGAGTGACTGCACAGGTATTTGGGGGACTGGAGTCGTCACAAAGTTTAAGCCTTACACACAGCCAACCCTGGTTTTATCCCCAGCATCGTCTATGGTCCCGAGTCCCCACCCCCAACAACAACTATAACAACACCTTTGAAAGGCCATGACTGACTTGAATGCTTTATATCATACATATATACATTTTTGAATATGGAAGTTCAAGTACTTATAGTACTAAAATCTTGTCCACAAATGCAAACACTGTCCTCCCGCTGTTCATCGATTTGCTCGAGCGGGCCCAGTAATGTCTCCATTTTGAGACTTGTTGTTACTATGTTTGGCATATTGAATATGTCATGGGTAGCTTGCCAGGCTCTCCGAGAGCCCCTTGTGCGCAAGGCAAACACCCTATGGCTGTGCTATCGCTCCATCCAGTGTTACCTCAGAAGGTTTTTTGGAGGCTTGTTTTGGCTTTTTGTTTGGTTTGGTTCTGGGGACACACCCAGCAGTGCTCAGGAGCTACTTTTGGCTTGGTAGTTGGGAGACTGAAAACTGTTTTGCTTTATTAATTTACCAAAAAAGAAGAAAAAAATGCACATTAATATATTCTTGAGTGACTTTTTCCATTTTTTCCCCTTAACTTTGAAAAAAAAGAAAGTGTATCAGGCAACCTAGTAACCACAACTAAGGGAATATACAAATATTTCTTGAATCTTTATGTACAGAATGTATATTAAGATTTCTGAAGTAACTCAGGATTAAACAAACTAAAGTACTATTTTTTTAAACATATACACACATATACACACATTCACACAATTACCTTGCAAATAATCTGCGAGGTCTCCACCATTGCAATACTATAGAAAAGAGAAAGTAATTATAATAAGGAAATTGACTTAAGATTAACATAATCTTGGGGTCAGAAAGATAGTGCAGGGGAGCTTGCACATGGCCAACCTGGGTTTGATCCCTGGCACCCTATTTGGTCCTGCAAGTCCTATCAAGAGAGATCCGTGAGTGCAGAGCCAGTAGTAAGCCCTGAGTACCACCAAGTGTGGCCCAAAAACAAACAATTGGAATCCACAATCAGTTCATTTTAAGTGAAACAGCGCTTGTACATAATGTAAATCAAGTATGAAAAACACAATTAAGTAAAAAAAGTTTTAATTTTATATTTCTTGTAAAGAGCTAAATCCTGAATCAACTTTTTTAAATAATTCAAAATTTTAAATAACAGTCTACTTACCATTTTAAAGTTCATATTAAAAGCAACTGAAATAAAACAGAAGCTTGGAGGGCAGGGCATATGACTCAGAGGTAGAGTACACGCTTCAACTGTGTGAGGCCTGGGTTTAACCTGATATCAAACAGAAGTTTGTATGGTAACACCTACCTCCATCACCAGAAAGACAGAATTGGGTAATTCCTGAAAAGTAAACATTTATGATCATTTAAATGACAGAAAAAAATTATTGCAGTTTTTAAACATTAACAAAAACACTATATAAACATAAATACTAAATCTTGTAGGTTATTACCTTTCATTATCTTTCTGCACATTTGATAATAATATTTTCATTACTAATAAAGTAAAATAAGGCGAGAGAATAGCTCATAGTAGAGTGCATTCTTTCCATATACAAGGGCCTATGCTTAATCCCTGGCACCAAAATTAATAAAACTAAATCACACCATCCATTTTTTCCTCTACACTTTAAGCTACACTCAGTGGTGCTCAGGGATCACTCCTGGTACTCAGAGGACCATGTGGGGTGCCAGGATCAATGTAGCATGAGCCAAGTGAAAGGCTTACATCTTTACCCTGTCCTCTCTCTCTCTCTCTCTCTCTCTCTCTTCTCCCCCCACCACCCCAGCATCCTATATAGTCCCCAAGCCCACCAGGAGTGATCCCTAAGTGCAGAACCAGGAGTAAGTGCTGAGCACAGCTGGGTGTGGCCCCCAAACAAAAAACAAACAGCAATTGAGGCAAGGTGATAGTAAAGCAGTGAGGCGTTTGCCTTGCAAGCCACCTGGGATCAATAAGTAGCATCCCATATGGTCTCCTGAGCACTGCCAGGATCCCTAAGCACAAAGCCAGGATTAAATCCTGAGCATACCAGGTGTGGCCCAAGAACAAAAAATAAATAGCAATTGGCACTGGAGCCATAGTATAACAGGCAAGGCACTCGCCCTGCATGCTGCTGGCCCAGATTCAATCTCCATCATCCCATATGGTCCCCTGAGCACTGTTAGGAGTGATCCCTAAGCACAATGCCAGGAGTAAACCCTGAGCAATGCCAGTATGTGATGCAAAAATAATGTTTTTAGTTTAAAAAATAAATGACATTGGGACTGGAGCAATAGTACAGCAGGTAGGGCATTTATTTGCCTTGCACATGGCCAACCCAGGTTTGATCCCCGGAATTCCATATGGCCGCCCAAGCACTGCCAGGAATACTTCCTGAGTGCAGAGCCAGGAGTAACCTCTAAGCATCGCTGGGTGTGACCCAAAAAGCAAAAAATAAATAACAATTGGCTTCTCAATATCTTAAATTCAAAGTAAAGTGTTTTATAAAACCATTTTTCATAGACAACAAGGAGAAAACAATACAGGAGAAAGGGAGCATGACTAGCACAGCCGTCCCAAATGTGGTTTTAAGAACCAGAGCAGCAGAATTGTTTGTTATTGGCACACAGAGATAATTACAGAAATTAAGAGTAGGAATTAAAGGTGGTTAAAACAATTTATCAACAGTTTATGACTTAATCACTTAATCACTTAACTTCCCGTTAGTCGTCGATTTGCTCGAGCGGGCGCCAGTAACGTCTCCATTTGTCCCTGTCGCGTGCTAGTGTAGCCCAATGGCATCTCTTCGCTCCGGGAACATGGAGGGCCTCAAACCGATCGTTCATGATCTTGACAAAGAAGTCTGACCATCTGGTAGGTGGGCGGCCACGCGGTCTCTTGACATCCCGTGGAATCCAATCAGTAACAGCTCTAGTCCAACGGTCGTCTTTAAATCTCATTACGTGACCAGCCCATCTGATTTTCGACACCCTGGCAAATGAGACAGCGTCCCTGATCCTTGATCGTCGACGGATGTCAGAACTCCGGATTCCTTCTCTCATTTGAGTGAAACGTGATATTCCAAGCATAGCTCTTTCTATTCTTCTTTGGGAGACCTGAATGGCGTTCTCATCTTGTTTGCGTAGGGCCCAGGTCTCTGAAGCATATGTTAATGCAGGAAGAACAGTGGAATCAAAGAGATGTGCCCGGAGCCGGAGGTTCTTCGTCCTCTTAGCTATTTCTTCGACGTTCTTGAAGGCGTTCCAAGCCGCTCTCTTCCTCCTGCGCAGCTCGGGTGCCAGGTCATTTGTCATGTTGACCTCTCGACCTAGGTACACATAGCTGTTGCATTCGGAGATGGTCGTTCCATTGAGAGCGAATGGGGCGTCAGGAACAAGGCTGTTTCTCATAAACATTGTCTTCGTAAGATTCAGCTGTAGTCCTACCTTTCCACACTCACGGTCAAAGTCGGCCAGCATTTGTGCCGCTTGGCTGATGTTTGGTGTTATTAAAACAATGTCATCAGCAAAGCGGAGGTGGTGTAGTTGCCGACCATCTATCTTCACTCCCATTCCTTCCCATTCCAGTCGTCGCATGATGTTCTCGAGGGTGGCACTGAAGAGTTTTGGTGAAATGGTATCACCCTGCCGCACCCCTCCCTTGACATCAACGATCACTTCTTTGTAGAATGGTGAGATCCTGGTAGTGAATCCGCAATACAGCTCACGGAGGATCCTTGGGCTTGAATGCCCTGATTGGCTAGGGCTTCAATGACCGCTTCCATCTCAACAGAATCAAAGGCCTTCTTTAAATCAATGAACGTTAAGCAGAGCGGCATCTTGAACTCCCGAGAAACCTCAATGAGCTTGGTTATCGTGTGGATATGGTCGATGGTGCTGAATCCTTTGCGGAACCCTGCTTGCTCACATGGTTGTCCTTCATCTAGTGTTCTGCCAATCCTATTCAGGATGACTCGAGTGAACAACTTGTAGATGACAGACAATAGGCAGATCGGGCGAGAGTTGCCAATGTCATGGATGTCTCCCTTCTTGAACAGTAGTACGGTCCTGCTGGTTGTCCATTGAGATGGAACCTTGCATTCAGACAGGTAGCGAGTGAAGAGCCGAGCCAGTGTATTGATGAGTACTGACGGCAGGTTCTTCAGGTGTTCAGGTCTGACCTTGTCTGGGCCGGGTGCTGTTTGCTTCTTTACTGACGAAATGGCGTGTCGGATTTCGGAAGGGAGAACATTGGGAACGACATACCCATCCTGTGGAATTTGGTATGTCGGCAAGTGGACATGGCTATCGAAGAGATTTGAGTAGAAGTCATGGATAATCTTCTCCATTGCCGTTCTGGAGGATGTGATGGATCCATCAGGACGTCGGAGGGCAGTCATCTTGGTCTTATAGTTGGCGAAGGACAGGCGGGCGTTACGAATACTTTTCCCGGCTTCTGCCGCATCTACCAGTACTTCTGCTCTTCTCTCTTTGAGGTCTTCCTTGATCGCATCTCTGCACTGCTTTGCAAGCTCGGACGTTAGCTTGCGGTTGCCTGAGGCATGCGCCAAACCACGCTGGCGAATTAGCTCAAGAGTTTTCGAAGATAGGCGACTTTTTGTGGCTATCTCTCTCTTGGCGTTCCTCGCACATTCATGGAGGTGCTGAACCAGTCGATCGTATTCCTCGTCAATGTTGTCAACAATGGCATCTTCCCATGTTGCCGCAATAGTACCAAAGAGTTCCCAGTTGGTGGTCGTTCTGGGAGTTCTCTTTTTGAACTTTGCAGCCCTTTCTCCCCGCTCTGTGAAGTAGAATTTTGCACGAAGGAGACGGTGGTCCGATCCCGTTCGAAATTTTGGGACAACAGCGACATCAGTCAGGCAAAACCGTCGATTGAATATGATGTGGTCTATTTCATTGTGGAATCGTCCACCGGGAGACTCCCATGTCCATCGTTTAGATTCTGCCTTCTGGAACTGTGAGTTACCATGAATGGTCTTGGTTGACATGATGAACTCAGACAGTCTCTCACCCTGTTCGTTCCATTCTAGGCCATGGGTCCCGATGTGAAGTTCTTCAGCTGATCTTCTCGGTCCTATCTTGGCATTAAAATCACCCACAATGATCTTGTAGAAGGTGTGGTCTTCTTTATAGAACTTCTCTAGCTCCATATAGAACTTCTCGATTTCTCTTTCATCATAATGAGATGTTGGTGCGTAGACAACGAAGATAGAAACTGCAGGCAGTGAGCCACATCTATTCAAATGTAAACGTCCGATTCGGGTTGTTAGGCATTCGAATGAATCAATGCTCTTGGCCAAGTTTGTGTTGACAAGGACACCGACGCCTCCAACACCTTTTTTATCGCATGTTCCGAGGAACAATTCTTCTCCAGTGTCGAAAACGGCATGGTGAGATTCGTGTCTTCTTGTCTCGGTCAGACCAATGATGTCGTACTTGATCATTCGCGCTTGTACCATCAGGTCCTCGATGGATGCATCTGATGCTAGCGTACGTGCATTGAAAGTACAGACGATCATTTTTGTCTTCCTTCGTTGTGGCAGCCTAGGTCGGCCTTGAGATTTTGTCGGCCTCTCCTTTCTCATCCTTCTCAGTGCTGCCATGTCGGTGAAGCCTTCAGGGTCAGGTGAATGAGACCAGTTGTAGTTACTGGTTTTGGCATATCGAATACACAGCGGATAGCTTGCCAGGCTCTTCCGTGTGGGCGGAATACTCTCGGTAGCTTGCCAGTCTTTCCGAGAGGTATAGAGGCTTTTGGGGTGACCTCTAATCACCCTTGTAGGTGTTACCATATTTGAACCCTATCAAATATGGTACGACAATTCCAGAAGACGGGTATTTAGTGTCTTATGATGTGTCGCACGGCCGCTTGCGGCCGCGCGGGTCCGGAAAGCGTCCTGGAGTGTGGCGACGGCTGGGTAGTGGAAGTAGTGTCCAGTTTATGACAATTGCACCTAATAATAAAGCTCTAAACATTTGTAGGTCCTTTTTAAATCTCCTTTTTACAACAGTTTATTTCAAATTAAATTTAATAAAACTAGCAGTTCACACAACTAGCAAAAGAATTTTGGGGGCCATAGCTGCTATGCTCAGGATTTACTCCTGGTTCTATGTTCATGCATCACTCCAGGAGGGCTCAGGGACCATATGGGGTGCCAGGAAATCATGCAAGGCTAGGACCCTACCAACTGTACTATCTCTTTGACACAATAAAAAAATGTAATGATGCCTCTCAACAGCTAGACCAGAATACTTCCACCCAATATGAATCCATACAAGAGATTGCTACAAATGAGTTCACTATGATCGACAGTCTAAATGAAACAACTCAAGAAT